GATATTCCAGATTATAGCATAAAACTAAAGGCTCAGCAAAGACTCACAAGAGCATCCTCATTTATGAGCTGCTAAATTCTAGAACAATATATCTCCAGTATGATGTCTCTGTCAGCTTATTACCTTGTAGTGTACTCAAAGAGAAAGTATTCAGAGCTCTATCTGCTTTTGGTATTGAAAACTTTTAAATGAAAGATCTGTGAAATCCAGCTGACGTCTTTCATTATTTGACTTTATATCAGTTCATGTGTCTCCGTGATTTTTAAAGGATAACAAGTGAGTAGTATTCCATTAGCATTAATATTTGAGGGGCCAGGTCATGTTACAGTAAACTGTTATTTGCTAAAGTATAATCTATTGTTTTGGCATTGTTTTCTTTTCCTTGGATAGTTATGCACTATCATCTCCATTGTGTCCCAAAGCTTTCAGACCTGAACAGCTGCTGTTCAGTGCAATTCCATGACAGGTGACTAGTCATCACTGTTCATTTGCTAGGCATGTTGTCTTTCAGGAAAGTTGGAAGAAAGAAAGGAAGCCCACCTTTAACTGCAATGAGTGCCTCTTTGTTACAGAGAATCCTTAATAGCTAATTAAGATCCTTGTATTCATTAGATCAATCATTCATCCACTGTACCATCTTTCCACTTACTCACTTGTGTATTTTTAGTTCTGTATGAGGCTGTGATGCTTACACACTGCTGAGGTGTGTAGCTGTGCTTTGTTACTCTCATAGAGTTGTTAGCTATGAGAATCAATGTCAGATAAGCTTGCAATAGCCCTCCTTGCATTATGAATGAAGCTTGGAGACCAGATGAAGATGCAAATATGCCTTGCATTTTTGCATTTACAAAAGCATTTATGTGGCTGGTTATACAGAAAAAGATCAAGTTTTAAAATGTCATGTCATCTTTTGATTTCTTCTTGTCTTCTATGTCCTTTGTGCTCATTTTTAGTTAACTCTCATGATACCAATTCCCTGTTGTGCTGCACACGTAAACTAACATCAAAACACCAAAATGTCTATGGTCAAAGAGGAAGGATTTAGATTTAGAAGGCTGATCACGATGGTGTGAGTCCATGAGAATTTGTCCCCTGGTTTTATCAGGGCCAGAAGAGGCTTCTCATTATGCATCTTTTGCATCTGGATGCTGAAGATCATATACCTTATTATAGCAGTAAAATAATACCTTTTAATATCTAGTTAGGTGTTATTACTTCTGTTTGGTCCTTTCTACTTTAACAAATATGGTCTGCCCCTTCTGTTCTGCATCCTGAGTGTTCTGTTTCCTATCTTACTCATATCAGTAACTTATTCACCTTGTGATTTTACCAAGTTACCTTCATTCAGCAAATTATGAGATGATGTAAAATGTCATACATATTAATTTGATGCTAATGGATAGAAAAGTAGTTTATTCTACAGGAATCAGGTTTCTTCCTAGATTCTGAGTTCAACAAATTGTACACTAGGCTACTGTAATGCATTTAAGATTACATGTACTGAATATAATAAGTATAAAGGAAATTCATATATGTGCAGTTTTCTGCCTACCCAGCATCAAAGGTAGCACAAAATTTACTATTTACAGAAAGTATAAAATAGCTGCTGTGGATCTCACGATAAAGTTAAGTCCTGTGTCACAGTAGAGACAGTCCTGGTAATTATTTGTTTAAGCAATTTTTAAAACATTGCAATGAAAAAAATTCCAATGTTATTTTATTCTTCCATTTCAAAAGTTTCTTTCTCAGTGTCCAGTGTGAAAGTCCTATTGCTGTATTTCAAGTCCATCACTTCTCCTATGCATGATGGACTAGAAGAGCATATGACATCTGCCCTATGAGCAAAGGCTGAGAGAGCTGGGTCTGTTCAGCCTGGAGAAGAGGAGGCTGAGGGGGGACCTGATCAGTGTGTATAAATACCTCAAGGGAGGCAGTGAGGAGGAGGGGGGCGGCCTCTTTTCAGTGGTGGACAGCGATAAGACTAGAGGAAATGGCTTCAAACTGAAGCATCGGAAGTTCCACAGGAACTTAAGGAAGCATTTCTTCACTGTGAGGGTGACAAAGCACTGGAACAGGCTGCCCAGAGAGGGTTGTGGAGTCTCCTTCTTTGGAGATCTTTAAAACCCGCTTGGATGCAGCCCTGTGCCACGTGCCCTAGGTGACCCTGCGCGAGCAGGGGGGTTGGACTCGATGACCTCTGAGGTCCCTTCCAACCTTCGGCATTCTATGATTCTATGATTCTATGATTCTCCTCCACTTGACAGCAGCCTTTTATGGGTTTGAAGATAGTTTTTCTCCCAGAATCTCCAAGTTAAATAAAACTAAGTCTTTCCAACATTTCTCATAGGTCATATTTTTATGAGTTTCTATTTGTTTTAATTGTTTCCATCTAAAGACTTCAGAAATGCCTCATTTTTTTTCTGAATATGGTGCCTAAATGTGGACTGTAAATGAATGAAGCAAGATTGTTTCCTGCATTGTATAGACTGTAGTGCTGTATAAAGTATGGGTTTGTTTTTCCCTATTCACAACATCATATTTTTATCATGGTCAATCCCATCTCCGAATTCTCTTTTAATCTAATCCAGCACACGAATGGGCAATTATTGAGTCAGACTCTGTACCATCCAAAATCATGGCAGTCTGTCCCATCATTGTAACATTCAGACTGAGTATTCCCTATTGCATCACCCAGGCCATTTATGGGCCTGTATGGGGCTATTTATACCTATAAATTCATGCATATTGGTAAAAATATATATGTAAATATAAATAAAGATGCTTTGAGGCCTACCACAGTAGAGCATTTGGGACATTTAATTTTTCATAGCTTGTGGAAGGTTATGTGACAAGTGTCTTATTAACACACACACACACACACACACACACACACACACACACACACACACAAATAGGAACAATGCCAGGTGGGGGAACCCAAATAATACCCCTAGATTCCTCCCAGTATCATTCCAGAAATACACTCAACCCATAAGAGGCTCATCACTACAAGCACAGAGGCATGGCAAGTAGAGGATCCCAATAACTGAGTCACAGAAATGAGCTCTTGCTCAGCCTCTGTCAGGGCTGACCCAGGAGAATATCAACCCCTGGGCCTGGCAATGCCTGTTGTGGTGAGCCCATGGCAGTGGCTCTCTGGAGCTCCTGACAGCCTGCAGGTATATAGCTCAGGGGCTTTGGGACACATATTGGGATGGAGGAGGTGCATATTGGGATTGCACAAAACTTCCTATAGGATGTTGAGGTGAGGTATCAAAGGCAGGGAAAGAGTGCCATCATGGTGACTTGGGGAGGATGTGGGACAATTGAGGGATAACGGGTTACAAGAGACTGGTTGTACGTAAACAAGGCAGGTCAGTACATTTATTTAGACATATCCTGTGCCTGATATGCACAGCACGATCTCTCTTGTCTTCTCATTTAATTCCATTTCTATCTATTTTACTGAGCCACACATAGAGCAGAGAGACTAGACATGCCTGTCTATTCTGTGTGCAGTTGTGCGTATGTGCAGAGGTCTCAATGTCAGCAACTGGATGCTACCACAGGTCATGTGGCCTGGATGCTAACCAACAACTACCAGCAACGGAGTAAGGTGAGTGTGAGTGTGTGTGTGTGTGTGTGTGTGTGTGTGTATGTGTGTGTGTGTGTGTGTACGCGTGCACGTGTGGGAAAGAAGTGGCCACTGGAGGGACCTGTGGTCTTCTGCAGACACCATGAGGTGTGGGGTTGAGCGAGAGACCTGTTTGAACAAGCGTGTGTGTGTGTGTGTCTGTGCAGGAACTGGCAGCTGTGGCAGTATCTAAGACCCTGCCTTTCTCATGGATGCATATTTGTGACTTTGTCACCAAAATTAATTACAAATGTACTAAACTTCTTGAACTCATTTCAGTTCCCTTAATTAATATTGAGGTTAAAAAACGATTTCTAACATCTGTGCTCAGTCACTGTACATGAATCAAAATACTTGAGAATTTTCAGAGAAACTGCATTAGTTTTAACTAAAGAGAGTTGAGAGGGCAGTGAAAGTGTATTTTGGCCCAGGAAAAGATCATGGGATATCTATACAGTGAATATACAGTTCTACGGCACTTAAGAAGGTGACTATACAGTAGTAGTTTTTGCAGTGATTAGACCTATTATATAATGATGCAATTTAGCTAGCTTGTGCCTTCCAAGACATATACACTTATTTTTTTTTCTTGTCTGAAGTTCTTATAATGGAATGATTTTAGCTGAAATATTTAAAAATATTTTGTGCAATTTGTTGAATTTTTCAGGTATTATGCTATCTGAAGGAAAGTTTGGGTAATTTTCCAATTACCCAAATAAACTTTTGGGTAATTGGAATTACCCAATTCCAATTGGGTATAATAAACTTTTATACTAATCTGCAGCTGAAAATGTGTAATTCTTTAAGTTTTTTCACTTAGAATGGTGCAGAAGATTTACTGCACATTCATCGATTCTGCTTACATTAATTGCATATTTATAGTATAAATGTTATAGTATTTATAGTATTAATGACATATTTTCTAAAAATGTGCCAATCGATACTAAAATTGATTTACTATAGTTGTAAAATGAACGAAAGATTTTGTTCAGATGCTGTAATATAATCTGTATTTTGGTTAAATATCTACTTCAACAAAACGTACAAGGAATGTTTACATAAAACACCACTGAAAGATTAGAAGCAATATGTATTCAGTTAAATAATAAACACAAGCTGCATTTTAAAAAGAACTCATGAAAAAAAGTAATGAAATATTGTATGATTATTTTTTCAGCTTTAAAAATATTGATTCTTCAGTATTAGAAATTAGACAATCCAAAGTAAATCATGTGTAAATGTTTATTTCTTCATATGAAATCAACAGTAATAATGATTTATTCTGTTGCTAAAGAAGTGAGCTAAATGTAAAAGATTAAAACATTTTATTTAAGATTTTTAAAAGCACAAGTACAGATACAACAAATAATGTTTTTTTCACTCTTGGAAAAAATTGAATATTCAATTCTTCTACAACTAGCAAATAATTATTTCAAACTGAAAGAATGCACAATGTATTCATGTTAAAGATTTTAAAAGACTTTACATTTAAGGTAATATTTTAATGCAAATATATTGTATGCATGTGTTTAGATGGTATCTGATGTTTTAGCACACTTGACAAAACTCTTATTTGTGATGTTATAATCGCTGCAACTCTTCCAGTTAAATTTCACTTTAGTGTTTTTTCACTTTAATATTTCAGTTATTCTTGCTCTCTCTGAAGGGGTTTGCGTTCTGGAGGTAGCACTGGCTGTAACTTCTGCCAGCGTTTTGGAGGCCAGAGGATATGGGTGGCACGAGCATGGAGTAGTCCAAGAGAAACCTGTATGCAAAACATAAACCAGGGAAATTACTGAATACTGCAAATTAACTAGAATGATAAGATAGTGCATGCAAACAGTTAACAACATTTTGATGCAGGCTATAAGGGGGGGGGGGGGGAAGACTGCTTCTATGAGACAGTGTTTTCTTCATAAAATGTTTCATCAAACCTAAAATGCCAGTGCTGAAATGCACTAGTTATAAAAAGCATTAGCCAGGTATGTTTCTTTTTCAGGTTCAACTGGCCAAAAATATGACGTATTTTATATCAATGGTGACTGCTTACAGAAAAGAGATTACTTAGGAGTATGGCAGAGCATAGTTCAAGTATCTATTCTGAATAAGTCAAACAGAACCTGTCTCTCTCAGATTTCAGGCGGGTACACTAACCACACAAGGATATTGACTTTTCTTAAATATGCTGTGCTCTCCATTTATCTCTCTATTTTTTAAAATTCCATTTTGTCCCCAAGCAACAATGGTAATGACTGTGAATCATAAATATTTTGTCAGGTTGAAGCTGCATTTCATGCAAAATTATTTAGTGAAACACACCTACAAATCAAAGACTTTTGTAATTCTGGGAGTACTTCCATTTCATTCATATGCTCTGAAAAAATGTTTTATCATCTTATTATTAATTCATGATATTTTGCTTCAGTAAATTAAAGTTAATGCTGATATTGCTAACAACTATATCACTTATAAGTGGAGCTGAATAGAAAAGCATTTCTAAAGCATTTTCTGAAAATAGAACACTCTGATTTGCTGATAAAAATAAGCCCTCAATGCCCATATTTAAACCTGAAATAAAGAAAATTGACATGGAGCTGATCTCATTCAGCTTGAAATATCTGCAGAATAAACCTCTGCATCTTAAATGACAATAGAAATAATTTTTCTATAAACTGTGCCAACAGGAAAGTCCCAAACAGGACAAAACCATGCTTAGAAGTATTGGATGTCTTTTTTATCTGTGAAAACACTAAATTACTAAGAGAAAACAATGGGTTCAGAAGTCTAAGAAATCATAAACAGAATAGGGAAAAAATGTATAGACATATTACATCATTAGACCTCAAAAGGAAGAATGAGGAAATATCAAATGAACTTTTAAAACAAAGAAGGAGGAAATGCTTCTTCAGAGTGTGCATAATTGCGTCAATAAGACTGGATACCATGGAAACCATAATAGAATAACCAACTGTTCGGTCAATTGATGGGAGGCCGCAGAAATAACCAGACACCAAGGGAAAGAACAGTCATGTTTATTATTAATATCAAATAATACAGAAATGAAATGATATACTTAATGAAACAATAAGCTTACTATGCACCAGGTTTTAACTACGGACAAATAAGCAAGATAATGTACTTAACCACTGCTATATGAGAAAGAGAATAGTGATTAAGAAAAGGATCCATCACCACTTGCCTGAATACATTACCATCCTCCAGATCCACAGTTGCTGGGGAACCCCTGTTGCAGCAAGGATTTGGAGAACCTTCCCAGCAATTGGGAGGTCTTACGCAGTGCATCCACCCATAAATGAGGCCTCCCAAGCTGCTGTAAGAGGGTCCAGCTTTTATAAAACCAAATCAGCAAAACTTGCATTGTCTTTGTTAGCGGTAATATCTGGTATGTCCTCCTTTCCTTATGATCTAGCACCAGGACCTGGTCAGAGCCCCGGCTTCAGATGGTGAAGTTCTCTTCAAGGTCAAAAACACTTGTCTGGGAGCCTACAAGAGTTACAAATTTATAAGCCTACATGAGGTTAGCAGAAGCAATTTACAGGAGAGTTCTGTGTATTTCTACAAAAGCAAAGCCATATTCAGCTATAAGTCAACCCTGACGTAGGCCTGTGGTTCAGGCTCTGGCAGTTCACCAACTAGCTTTAATAGTGGAAGAAAGTACATCATATATAATTAAACATATATAACAGTGTAATCTCTACATTCCAGATTACTCTCCTAATGTGGAGACGAAAGAGGGGTGAGAGGGAAAAATCATGCACTTGCTTTGTTTTTAAGAATCTGCCATTAGCTGCTGTCAGAGCCAGAAGTTAGAGGAGTTCTGGTTTGAACCTGTATATTCCAGCTTAAAATTGTACGTAACTCAGTTCTTCTCTTACATTTCCCATCACAAAAAAAAAGAAAGAAAAAAAAGTTATCTCAGTAAGCAGGTAATTCAGCATTTTATGCAGATAGACACCAAACATGCCCCTAGGAATATCTTCAGCTCATTTTCTTGATTTAATTTCATAGGATTAATGTATATTCACTAGTCTCTCTCCACTACATAATGAAATCAGTGAAGTTGAAGTGGTCTATATCTAATTCCATACTCTGTAGTTTGATGAAGCAGATGCTGAATTATTTGAATATAATTTGGTTATTTAATAACCCAGTATATCTGAAAGAATCAGATCACACTGAAATTTCAGCATAATATCACATTTCACCTGCTTGATTGCAGGTATCACGAGACTCCTTAGATTCATTTCATGTTTCTTTTTAACATTTAAGCAATTGACAATTGAATCCAAGCTGCTAAATGACAAGTCCACTTTGCCAGGAATTATCTAATCATTTTCTAAAGTCTTGCCATACTTCTAGATAGTTTGTTGGTTACTTACAGAATGCACAATATCCAGTATCTTAATTTTCCCATAAAGTGGTCTGCAAATATAATATTATCACTCCAAGAATATAACATAATAGGCTGGTGACCAAACTTCACTGATGAATATTAAACCTAATAGTATTAATACAGAGAAATATACTAAAATACTGTCAAACACAAATAATATCTCATTTTCAAAGCTCTATGTTTTTCTCAGTGCGTTGCTTGCTACTGGTGTCAGGAGAATGTATGAACATATACTGAGAATATAATAAATGAATCCAAACTTATTTGAAGCTCAGCCTGGGAATAATTTTGCCTGGAGGATTACTTCTACTGACCATCATCTGATTTAAGACTAAGAAAGAAATATCTTCCCTATAAACCTGAGTTGCAAGACAACATGACTAGTGCTAAAAAGGAAAAATGGGTATTGTTGGGTTATGGAAGGCTTTACTAGATAACAAATGACAGTGATTCCATAGTGCTTCTTTTAAAATAACTTTAATGCTCACTTTAAAGGCACCTTGATCTGTGACTTCTTCAAAGAACCTTAGCAACTTTTGCAAATTGTCTATTGTTATTCTGCAGTTACTACAGCAGCCATGAATTTCACCGAGGAAGAACAGAATTGTTCATAGAGTATAAGCTGCCTTTGTTAATGGGTTTTCACTCATCAAGCCTAGATACTGGCAGTGGATAAAATGAGAGAATCGACTTCTTCTAGCAAAGGTGAAATAACAAAATAATTCTTTTTAAAAAGAAATTTCATCAATTCCCATACTTACCGCCATTATTTACTTTATTTAGCTAATAAAATAAAATTATTCTCTTGAAACATTGTTTTGACTAAAAGAAAAATTGTCCATAAGTATACATTTCTTGCAGACCATCTTTCATTTACAGCAAGAGATGCCAGAAACAGATCCTTCTTATTGATACATATGATCTCTTTATTGTTTTTGCAGCAGCAACAACAGGTGCTATACTGAATTGAATTATTATTATTATTATTATTGTCTTTAACCTGAGCTGTTAAGGCATTCTTTCCTTTTTTGTTTTTTTTTAACTTCAAATATTTAATTGCCCAACTGAGAAGTCGTTGTGTTAACATAGCAATTTTATCTACAAAACAGGTTTTGAATGATTAATAGTGTTTTGATACTGCTACTGTGATAAAAGTGTATTTCCTGCAAGTTTGCTTGTTGTCGATATGCTAATTGCATGGAAACTGATTAGTTTGGGAGCTGCATTAGGAAAAGATAAGCTTAAACTTGATAACACTATCTGCAACTGTCTTGCTCCTTCTATCCATTAGGGTTGAGATAATTGCACCTCTATTAGAGGCTTATTCTACTAATAATTCCAAAATAAATAATTTTAATGCTCATTTGACTGTACTCTTCACCTTTTCCTGGCTGTCAGCTAGCATAATGCTTTTCAGTTCCTCAATTGCAATGGACAGAGCAGCACTGAAACTACATGATAATCTGTGTGCAACTATGCAGTGGTGCATCCCAAAATTTCCAAGGAAATCCAGGCCTAAGTCCAGATTCCAAGGGAAGGAAAAGAGTGTTTTTATAGAGAAGGATGAGGCTCTAACTATTTTTTTTTTTCAGGTTCTTCAAGATATGTAAACTATCCAAGCCTCTGCATTCAGCTACCACCCCTTCGTAATTCTCTGTTGCTTTTTCTTGATTTTACATTAAGAGCACTTTTGCTCTTAGGCTTTTGCTTCTTTTCTCCTTGAAGCTTTGGTGATTTGGCTCTATCTTGAGCAGAGAGGACTTTGAATTCTATGACAACATTAAAACAAGGCTGAACATCATCACTGAATATACCCTGACTACATTTTATACCTGAGTATAATTACCTGCAGCTTTGCCTTAGCTTGTTTAGTTGCAATGGTATTTTTTTTTCTAATAACCAGGTGGCTATTTTCATTTTGTTTTACTTTTGCCTGTATTTGTATCATCTTTTGGTATAACCATAGCTTTTATATAGTTTATAGTTTTATATAGTAGTAACAAGTAATTCTCTGTAGAATGAAATATTTATGGCCTTAATGTAATAATGTGGTTTAGGGCAATATAGTCCCAGCTGGAAAAAAAAAAGTTTTAAGGCAAACAAGTAGAACAAAGAACAAGTTTCTAGATATGTGCTATACCTAGTGATATACCTAGTATCTGTAAAGCAAACCATATACTGAATACATAGAACAGAGATGCTGGTCAGTGAAGAAAGAACAGAAAATGTATTAATAACCTCAAGGGAAAGTGAGGATGAGAAAGACAAAGCCATCAGTATCACAGTCCTCCTGGAGAAGGTTTTGGAAGGATGAAAAAACACTTTCCCCTTTTTTTGAGGAGGATGCTGCC